GCTAGAAAGGCCGAGATAAGATTTTTTAGCTAGCAGTAAATGGCATACAATTCAGATTTAAAAGTATGAATAAAAAATATGGCCTTGAAATATTTATCCGCTTTGGGAGTTGCCGATCATTGGAAACAGGAGAAATTATGAATATTTATGCTTCATGGTCTGATAGTATTTTACAATACCCACTCGGATCGGACTTGAATAGAACAATTATTGGCATAGACATTGCAAATAGTGGAATAATATCAATTTGTAATCGTGTTGTAAATATGATTCGTTCAAGAGCCAACTTACCGGGCGTTGATTTTTTTTTTCGGGGTCTCTACTCGAACGATCTCTCCGTTGTTCACGGTAAGCCAACCGGTTAGCTCCTCGATTAAACTTTCCTCTAATAAAATTGTAATCTGTGAAGTACTACTTGGTGTTAGATAAAGATATTTCATTTCTGGGGCAAGTAAAGACAGGAAAGGCACATCAATTCTCGTATACCTTACCTTTCGGGTATTCAAATCGCCCGCCATTTTAAATTTGATCCGCGCACGTCAACGGTGAGTGACAAATGAGCCTTGGTCTTCCCAGGGAAGACTTCCTTTTATAGCGCGCCTTCGTGTTTAATCCCCTTCTGCACTGAATTAACTCTTTTTTGCACTGAATTAACTGAAAACTGCATTCATCTTAACCAATCAGAACTGAGACATTTTTCAGGTATGTTATTAAAAGTAAAACAAGCATTTATTCTGTAATGTATTGGTAAAAAACTTTTATTTTTTGGTGGCTCCTAAAAGAGCCGTTTTTTGTAGATCACCCTATAAACCAAGCGAACTTAGTTAACAGGATATAATTCGCCAATGTGACGTAGCAAGTTCTCGAAGCGGTTTCCCGGGTACTGTCGCTGAACTCGTCGAGGTAACCTGGAAGTTTATCTCTAAAAGTGCCGCTCATTCTCTTCAGCTTTTTCTTCACCTGATTCCACAATCCCTCAATGGTGTTAGTGTGAGCCGCAGTAACAGGATTGACAAAGTTTTCCGAGTGATTGACCATCAAATGAATGTATCCGATGTTATTCAGGTTGAAATAGGGCGAAAACGTGTCTGAAATAATGATAGTTCCTAACCAACGTCTCTCTTGAGCGATCAGGTACACAGAAAGTGAAGGCGCGACCACTTTCTCTCTCTACCATCTCGAACACCCGCTTGCCTTTCGATACACGACCGCGGTTGTACTTACGAAATATCATTAAATCGAAGATCGTAAAATCGGGGTTCCAATAAGCCCCAATTGTTGCTTACCTGAAGGAAAAGTCTCTAAGCGTCCGATGGAGTAATATTGTCTTATTTAACTGCGAAATTAATCGATGCTAATTTCGAAATAGAAAACCGACAGTTTTTCGTGTCAATTGGGAAAACTGTTGGCCGACTATTGGGCGACCGTCGGCCGTCTGTCGACCGTCTGTTGGTCGTTCGTCGGCCGACTGTTGGTCGACTGCCAGCCAACAGTCGGCCGACAGTCGACCCACAGATATTTTGGGGAGCTGTTCTTCAATTTCACCAAGATCTGAGTGTTAATTCTCCTCTCTAGCTGCTGCACATTTTTTTGTAAATAAGTTGCAAGAATTTGGTGTGGATCAAGATAACAACTTCTAGCTGACAAGTTTGAGTATTATCACCAATATACTGGATAATGCATAAGTATCATAAGGAGAAATTACATCTTAATCACTTCTGGGAATAAAGGAAGGCAGCATGGTCGAGTGGTCAGCGTGTCGGACTCGCAGTCCGCCGCTTCCGGGTTCAAGTCCCGCCCTGTCCACTACTTCGATCTGTTTCACGGTAGCCCCGAGTTTCAAATCCTCGGCCATGCTTGCAATATAGCCAACTGGTTTGCCTTCGGCCGCTTCCGGGTTCAAGTCCCGCCCTGTCCACTACTTGGATTTGTTTCACGGTAGCCCCGAGTTTCAAATCCTCGGCCATGCTTGCAATATAGCCAACTGGTTTGCCTTCGGCCAGTTGGGATTCTTAATAATGTTATTTTCAATTTGAATTATTTGTTTCAGTTGTTTGTGGAAAACCTTTAAACTAGCTTCTAGCTAAGTGTTTCTCCACGCTAAAAACTGTTTATTTTTTTATTTTATTTAAACTGTCAACCCTATTCAAGGGACAGATTCGAAATATCCGTTGAATGACATAAATATTTATACCTCCACTTCAGCCGTGAGCCTCTGGCTGACTTTCACGACGCAAAACATGCCACTCGCTCACTACATTTGGATCTCACTAAAGGAAGGTTACTGACTTGTGGCGGCGATAGGATCATTAAGGTCAGTTGTCGTCTTCTTTTGACTTTCTTTGTTTCAACCCTCTACTGTAGCTCGAGATCTGTACATGCATTCTCAGAATAAAGTTTCATTTTCAGTTACTTTTGGTTTTTCTGACGTGGGACATGTGTTTTTCTTACAGATTTGGGACGTAAAAGCAATTCTCTTGTCGTGAGCATGGACTAGACCTCTTTAAGAACTTTTAACATTTCGAAAAAACAGATGGATGCGATTTAATCACGATTTTCTTTCGCCGTTCCAAGCATCCAGAGGCCTTGTGAAGGCGAACAGATGTAGCAGGTGTGGACCCGTCGTTAATTTGTGTCAAGTTTAACTACAATGATGTTCAAGGTTGTCACGCAATATACTTCGTAAGATTGCATGACAACTCGAGCAACGGATTCTATGCAATGATTCATGTAAGTGATGTCACAAAACAATGGTAGCATCATCGACGTTTCAGATGGACGGCAAACCCGTTGCTAAGCTGCTTTGGGTTATTTTCGTCTCTCAGGCAGTTTCTCTTAGCCTTCTTTGTTGAATGGAAATTTCCTTTTTTCAGAAACTTGATCGGTGCCTACTCGAATTTTTCACCCATTAGTTTGGACTGAAATTAAATGGTTTCTAGCTTGTCCCAGCAGAAAGCTTTTGGGGCGACTCAATTTATAGTCAGTAATGAACCGTCATCTTTTATTGAAAGTAAGGTCAGTAAGAGTGTAATATAAAAAAAATAATAATAAAATGCACGAGTAAAAAGAAATGTAGGATTTAAGCTCTAGTGACTTCTTGTTCGGAACGATATTAGTGATTATATGGAGTAGGTTTGTAAACTTACTTGTTATTAACATTTTGAATAAAAAAATTACATATGGTGAAAACAAAAATGTTTAGGAGTGATTTCTTGTGTAATTCAAGCGGGCTTGCTTGCAACGCGCATTCTCTCTTGAAGAGTAACAAATTAAACACGTCGTGGGGCAGTTTGTGTTCGCCTGCATGAGTAACTGTACGCCAGCGAGAGGTGTGAGTAACACGACTTTTTATGAAGACGGAGTTTGAATTAATGCAGGTGTTATGTGGGTAGCGATTGTAAAACATTTAATTACTATCATATGATTAACAGTTTATGAGAACCATCTAAGCTTGTTGCTAAAAACTTCGTGAGTCGTGTACGCAGGATTTTACGACAAAAAGTATGCTCGAGGCCAGTTGAGACCACCTGGGGCATTTATTGAGGATAAAAAAAGTGAGATAAAGCGCAAACTGTGATGAGCAGGTTGTTGAAGCGTTATCCGGCCTTGTATTGTTCAGCCCTTAAAAAGGAACTTAGACAAATGGATGAAGTGACCCTTCAGCAAATTGGTAAAATTTGTGAATGGTTTAGCCACGTTTTATTGCGCATCACAAATGTAGTTATAATAACGACGACAGTGAAAGAAATGTATAGAGCGTTTCGGCTTAAAAAAACTGGTGAATTTTTAACCGTTAATCGTAAAAAAAGTTAACGGTAAGAAACCGGAATGTAATTAACCGTTAGCCGTAGAGTGGCCGAAATTTTAACCGTTCAGTAGTCGTAAGAGCCATCGCGCCCCATTGAGACCCTCTGTAAATCCTGTGTATACCAAAGCTAGTTGCTTAGGCGGTAACGCGATGAGAGCGGTTTTAGGTCAGCGGCGTTTATCTTAAGACCAGGGTTACCTTGATAAATGTAACTGATCACCAGCGATTTTGTTTAGCTTGCTCGTTCTTTCAAAGCCAATGCAGGGGTATATAAGTTTGAACAACTGCTGCAGTGGAGATAGAACTAAAAGAAAGTTCTGGGTAATAAAAAGTCTATGTGTTCGAAGAACATACATCTTTATTTCAAAATTCAATCGACAAATTGATAATTTTGGAGAGGATTTGCTAAGTTAAACGTTTCTATACGGCCGCAGGAGAAATTCGTATGAACTAAAGTGCTAAAGTTTGTGCTATTATAAAATAGATAATGACCGGTAGACAGCTTTCCTGATCACTGTTCAGAATTACGTCTTAACTGAGTAAATCATGAAATGAAAAAACAAAGGTTAACCATCACTTTAACTACTTTAATCAAACACGATAAGCCAGCACGCGACTATTGTCTCAAATTTGTCTTGAATTACCGATAACTTTGATTTTAAGTATTTTCGAAAGATGAATGTAGTTGGGAAAGGCTGTGATGTAACGATAATTGAGAGACATGGAAAACACTTTAAAAAAAAACTTGAAAAATCACGAATCAAAATATTCACTTGATATTCTTCATCGTTTTAAGTGGTTTTCTTAAGCTGGTAAGTTTTGGTATTTGTTAAAAAGAAGTGGAGTTAAATTGGTGGTAAACCGTGACTAATTCAAAAAGTTGTTTGATCCTTTGACTGTTTCCTAGCTACCGAACAAATTCGAAAGCATCTACTTTAGAGAAGCCCTCGCTTTCTGTAGATAGTTAATGCCTATCTGGTTTGAAATTCTAGAGGAGAAAAAAATTTCTTTACCATCATTACGAAAAATCTTTCACTCTAAAGCCCAGGGTTCTGAAACTTGATTGTTTGCACTTGGTACATCTTTGCGCGGGTTTTGGGGACCTGGCTTTGAACGTCATAATTTTTTTCATTTGAACTAAAAACATACCGTAGTTTCTCGGTTATATAAGGCGCACGGTTTTTTCAAGGAAATTCTGTCTTCGGGTGGAAAGTTAGTGTTAAAATTGGGGTGCGTCTTATAGCCAAGTGTTTTTGCGCAACTAAATCTTAAGATCACAATTTTAGTAGAACTTACAGTTAAGAAGACAACGAAAAGGACACTAATGGTTGGTCTCTGACTTTTTCAGATCTGGTGGTTCTGAAAAGAGCCGTTGTGGTGGTTCTGAAAGAGCCGTTTCTTATACGGTCTCCGTTAAATGACCACGAAATGAATCCCACACGAGCAGA